CATCTGCGGGCGGTGGACGAGCGCCTGGAGCAGGCGACAGCAACGAAGGACAGCGGGGAACTCCTGCTGACGGAAGAGGAGTGGGCTGCTCGGCGAAACTCCGGGAAGACAGCCTCCTCCAGTCGTGGTGGCAACATCAAACATCGCGGCAGGGCTTCTTCGAAGAAGAAGCAAATCGACTCCAACGCCTGTCGGTGTTACGGGAAGATGGGCCATTGGGCACGGGAGTGCCCAAATCGCAAGAAGGAAAAGAAGGCTCAGGCTCACCTGGCGAAAGCCGATGATGAGGATGAGGCCACTATCCTTATGGCGACGTTCTGTGCACTACACGACGTCGAGGCCATGGAGAGGGAAGAGGCGAAAACGGTGGAAGGATCTAGCAAGGCCACAAGACCCGTCAACCTCGACGTAACCACGCGCCCAAGTCCATCTCGGGCATGTGGGCGCCGACCAGAGGCGGTGGTATTCGGACTCTGGTGCGGTAACCACATGACGGGCTCCAAGGACTCCTTCTCCGAGCTCGACGGTGATGTTACCGCACGGTAAAGTTTGGTGACGGCTCAAGGGTGGCCATCCAAGGGTGCGGCACCATCATCTTCGATGCGAGTATCAGGAGCACCGCGCGCTAATGGATGTATACTACATCCCGCAGCTGCGTTCCAGCATCATCAGTATTGGTCAGCTGGATGAGCGCGGTAGCGAGGTTCTGATCAAGGACGGCGTTCTGAGGATCAGAGACCGGGATCAGCGACTTCTAACCAAGGTGAAGAGGTCCCTGAACTGGTTGTACCTGCTTGACCTAAAGGTAGAGCAGTCGGTCTACCTGGCGGCAAGGCACTCCGAGGAGCCGTGGATATGGCATGCCCGGTTCGGACATCTCAGCACGGCGCGCTATGGTCGGGGAAGATGGTCCGAGGGCTACCCACATCAAGCACGGAGGCGAAGCTGTGGTGTTACTGGTCGGGAAGCAGAGAGGCTACCTTTCCCAAAGGCGTGCCAAGTATCGCGAAGGAAGCTCTCGAGCTAGTTCACGGCGACCTCTGCGGGCCAATCATGCTCGCTACATGCGGTGGTCGGCGGTACTTCCTCCCGCCGTGGGCGATTGCGCCGCTACATGTGGGTCGCAACTCGACGAGCATGGACGGCAGCGGTGGCGATCAAGAAGTTCAAAGCGCGCGGAGGCCGAGAGCGGCAAGAAGCTCCGTGTCGAGGATCGATCGGGGTGGCGAATTCACTTCGGTGGAGTTTGCTACGCATCGCACGGATCAAGTGTGGGGCAACATCACACCGCGGTCGTATTTCGCCACAAAGTAATGGCGTGGTGGAGCGACGGAACCGGACGATTGGTCGGCATGGCCCGATCCATGATGAAGGCCAAAGGGATGCCGGCAAAGTTCTGGGGAGAGGCGGTGACCATGGCGGTGTTCATCCTCAACCGCGCTCCAATCAAGGCCCTAACGGGCAAGACTTCGTTCGAAGCTTGGTACGGCGTTTAAGCCGAACGTGTCATTCCTCCGGACATTCGGTTGCATCGTCCACGTCAGGAAAACGGCCGAACCTCACCTAAGCCGGAGGATGGGAGCACATCCATGGTGTTCTGGGCTACGCGGAGGGTACCAAGGCGTACCGGCTCTATGACCCTCGCGGAGACAAGGTGGATCTGTCTCGCGCATGACGTTAGGTTCAACGAGGAGGCAGCTTTGGGACCGGAATAGTTCGAGCACGGGAAGCGGAGGCTTCACCAACACCTTCGTCGTCGAGCACTTGGTCATCCACGGCGGTGGAGACGCTACGGAATAGGTGCCACGCACTCCGGGAGGAGCGCCGAGCACTTCTGCGGTAGAGTCGAGCACTTCTGGGGCAGTGCCGAGCACTTCGGGAGCAATGTCGAGCACTCCGGGAGGAGTGTCGTGCACTTCTAGAGGGATGCCGAGCACGCCAGGAGTGGAGCCAGGAGGTTCTGCAGTGGTGGCGACCACTTCAGGACGGGTGCCGAGCACTCCCGTAGAGGAGCCAAGACGCCTTACTGTGGTGCCGACCACTCCAAGACTGAGGCTGGGCACTCCTATAGTGCGGCCGAACACTATAGGAGTTATGACGAGCAGTCCAGAAGAAGTGCCGAGCACTTCGGGTGCTATGCAGGGCACTCCGGCGGAAGAAGGAACTACATCACCCCCGATCGAGTTCGTCTCACCTCCAAGTGATACCACTTAGTTCGTGGACGCCTACCACGAAGGGGAGGAGTTGAGGTTCTACAGGCTGGACGATATCGTTGGCGGCACAGGTCCCTCAGGACTGGCGGCCAGGCTGCTCAACGACACAGAGCTGCTACTCGTCAGTGCGGAGGAACCACCCACGTTCGCGCTAGCCGAGCGCGATGGAAACTGGCGACGGGCAATGCTGGAGGAGATGAAGGCGATCGAGGAAAACGAGACTTGGCAGCTTGTCGATCCACCCCCAGGATGCCGTCCGATCAGCCTGAAGTGGGTGTACAAAGTCAAAAGGGACGAGCTCGGCGCCATCGTCAAGCACAAGGCGCGCCTCGTCGCCCGAGGCTTTGTCCAGCGCGAGGGCATCGACTTCGAGGAGTTCTTTGCGCCAGTAGCGCGCATGGAGTCGGTCCGTTTGCTACTTGCTTTGGCGGCAGCAAAGGAATGGCGCGTCCATCACTTGGACGTTAAATCGGCCTTCCTCAATGGTGAGCTGGCGGAAACAGTCTTCGTCAGGCAACCTCCAGGGTTTGCTGTCAAGGGAGAGGAGCACAGGGTGCTCTGACTGCGCAAAGCGCTCTACGGGCTGCGGCAAGCCCCTCGAGCATGGAACGCCAAGCTTAACACCACGCTGGGAGAGCTTGGGTTTCAGAGGTGCGCAACCGAGCACGTGCTCTACACGCGACGACGGGGGAAGGAAGAGCTCGTGGTCAGTGTGTATGTGGATGACTTAATCATCACCGGCACACGCACGGAGGACCTCAACAGCTTCAAGCGCGAGATGGCAGCTCGTTTTCAAATGAGCGATCTCGGCGCACTCTCCTACTACCTCGGCATCGAGGTGAGGCAAGGGAAGGAGGAACTCATGCTCGGGTAGAGCGCGTACACCTCCAAACTGTTGGAGAGGAGCGGCATGGTGGAGTGCAAGCCATGCGTGACTTCGATGGAGGAGCGGCTAAAGCTGACGAAGGACAGCACCGCGGCGAAAGTGGATGCAACACTCTACCGGAGCATCGTCGGTGGTCTGCGCTACCTAGTCCACACAAGGCTAGACATTGCGTTCGCCGTGGGTTACGTCAGTCGCTTCATGGAGGATCCCAGAGAGGATCACTGGGCTGCGGTGAAACGGCTACTACGCTACGTCAAGGGGACGGTGAATCATGGAATCATCTTCCCAAAGACCAGGGGAAGTAGGCTGTGGCTCACAGTGTTCAGCGATGCAGACATGGTAGGGGACATCGACGGACGACGGAGCACCTCTGGCATACTCGTCTTCCTCGGGTCAGCCCCAATTTCGCTGAAACAGAAGGTGCTAGCGCTATCTACGTGCGAGGCAGAGTACGTAGCGGCGGCCACAGCGGCGTGCCAAGTTGTGTGGCTACGCCGGCTGCTGGGCGAGCTAACCGGCGTGGAAGCTCACCCACCAGCACTGATGGTGGACAACCAGCCCGCCATCGCCCTCGCAAAGAATCCGGTTCTGCACGACCGGAGTAAACACATCGACGTGAAGTTCCACTTTCTCAAGAACTGTGTTGATGGAGGGCAGATCGTCATCGAGTTTGTCGAAACTGGTCGGCAACTCGCGGACGTCCTCACCAAGTCGCTCGGACGACTTCGACTCACGGAGCTGAAGGAGATGATCGGCATGGAGGGGGTGCAAGGGTTAACGGTAGGATTAGGGGAAGATTGTTAGCTAATCTACTGCCACCTTGTGTGAACACAGCAGAGGAAGGCGGCGCCGACTTTGCCCCCTGCTATGATACTGTAGCCGCTGCAGGTGCAGGCGCCGCACGGCTCACCTGCAGCACTGTAGGCACATACAGTGGCCGGCGCTGAGTCAGCCCTGTATGCTTATCTAGTTACTGTTACAGCATGTGCGCTGTACTTTGGTTAGATAGATAGAGTTGTATAAATAGGGCACCAAGGCAACTCAGTAAAGAGAGCTCAGATTTGCCATCACACAGACAGGGTCTCGGTCAACGTTATTGTCTTGTATTGTGCGTGCTTGCTCTGTTCTCCCTTCTTCTAGCTCGATCCGTAGTGTGTGGGTACGGACAAAGCCGGTACGGTGGTCGGCACAGCTAGTGGTCTGGAGGCCAGGGGTCTGAGACTAGTGGTCTGGAGACTAGTGGTTTGGAGACTAGTGGTGGGAGACTAGTGGTCTGGAGGCCAGGGGTGTGAGGCTAGTGGTCTGGAGGCTATCTGGTTCACTGTCGTCAGCCGGTGATCCCGTAGATCAACAATGGCAACTGAGGTAGTTAGCCTAAAGAAAATAGGGGATCATAATGCAATCAATAAGCAGCAAACATGACTACACTGAAATATAACCTAACCTTGGCACGGCATAGCTCCTTGATAGCTTCGGTTATAGAAAGGCAGACAACATATTGCATAAGGGGCAACTTCTGTGCATCCAGCATCTGTGATGTGAAAGAGAACATGAGACAGCCTGGTGGCGATTCCCACACATGCTTTGAACGGCCTGCACAATTCATGGGCAAAGATTAAATTTGTTACCTCTCAATAGCACATAGTGCGTACTATAATTATGTGATTAGAAAGATAAAGAAAAAAAAAGAAATGTTATGTATGATAATGTGTTAAACCAATGAATTTCAATTGCCACAAAAAAGTAGAATCAATTAAAACAGTTATTTTGATAAAGAGGTGTCACACTACAGTCAGATTCTACTTGTGTTGACTGTTGACTAAGACTGGATTTTTCAAGCAATTGATCTTAAAGATTACGCAGCATTCAGCAGATAGTTTCATCCGTTTTATCGATGATTATCAGAAGTACAAGAGTGCATCAATCTCGCCTGAAATAAAACTCGAGAGCATTGTAATCAAAGTTGCAAATTCATCAGAACTAAAACACTAACCGCAACAAGCAAGCCCCTAATCACACGCACCTCTCCCTTTGAACTGCACGTCGGCAACGCACACAACGCCCACCAGTAGCTTTGCAAAGTTCCTGCGAGCACGAGCTGACGCCAAGTCAAATCAAACAGAGTAAAATAAGATTAAACGAAAACCCAATCCCCCGGGCACGAAACCAGACATCGCACTCACCGCCCGATGAGATCCTACGTGGAACCAATCCTGGGCGTCCAGAGCATCCACCTCCCAAACCGGCGCGCCCAGAGCGCGCTCATGTACGCGGTGGCGTCGAAGCCCGCGCCCACGTAGTAGAGCGCGACGGAGACCTCACCGGCCGGCTCGCCCTCCCCTAGGGCGACCGAACCGGCAGCGGAGACCAGCAGCTCCTGCTCCTGCGGTGACTAGCCGTACGCCACGAGCGTGGTGGCTGCTCCGGCGGTCACGGACATGGACACGCGGGCGGATGGCCCGTGGCGGGAAGCGGACAGGTAGCGGCGGAGCGCGACGGCGGCGAGTACGGCCCCGACGGTGGCAGCGGCAGCGGCCGCGGTGGTTGATGGCGGCGGGAGGCGCACGGGGAATGGCATTGCTGTCGCTGTTGGTTTGGTAGTTTGGTGTGCTTTTTTTTAAATAATATTTTTTAATGATTAATTGCAAATTTAGAAACTGTTATGCAAAAATTTGATATACAGCATTATGTTGGCCTTTCAAAAGTCGATAGGAAACCTGTTGGCTTCTCAATAGCCGATAGGCCTATCAGGCTGTTTGTTTCAAGTGTAAGTGGGCTGTGGAGCCTGACTTGAGTCCTGCACGGGCTTGATACTTGTAGGCTGGGAGAGTGGGCTCCAATGCTGCAGATATTGGGCTGGATCGGGCCAGTTAGTTCAAAATTGTGATGGGATGGAAAAAGTCCACCTTACCTCCTCAATTTTTCCGAAAGTTTGTTTTTCCTCCCTAATTCTAAAGCTGGGTATATCACCTCCCTTAACTTTTAAACACGTTCGTAAGCGGTTTTCAAAGGCGGTTTTGTCCTTTTATTTTTTCTTTATTTCAGCTAAATCTTTGAAAAATCATAGTAAATCTTGTTGGACTCCACATGAGTAGATCTACACAACGAACATATAATATGTATGCTTTAGCATAAATTTTTTGTTGTAGCTTTAGATCTATGCTTTTCGATAATTAATTCATAGCTGCAGTTTCTATGGTCCAATTATTGTGATTTTTTATGGTGGCATAATTATTGTATGCTTGAATTGTAGTAAAAATTTTATGCTCACTGAATCATATATAACTTAGTTATAGTTATAGATTTATATAGGTCTATGCTTGTTAAAAAGTAATCTATAACTAAGTTATACATGATCCAATAAGTATGAAATTTTTACTATAGTTCAAGCATATAATAATTATCCCACCATACAAATTTCACAACAATTGTACCATAGAAACTGCAACTATGACACTAGTACACAAATCTTTTCCGTGGCGGTCAAAAACAGTTAATCGAGGCGGGCATTCAAAACGCCTGCGAGCAAAGGTCACAATTAATCAAAGAACAACCGAGGCGGTCATATTGCCAGCCTGGGTTAATGAATTAAAAAAACAAAAAAAGGCAGCGAACTTGTCGATGAGGCCCATTGAGCCCATCGACGAGCCCGCCGAGCTTATCCGTGCATGCGCCGCCGCCGCCTGCCGGATTCGCTCGTGCGCCACCACCGCTCGCACAGATCTGGATGTCCCGTGCTAGATCCACCGCTTCCAATGCCGGATCTAGGCCGTGGCGTCCCTGCTCGAGGTCATGGCTGCCGGAGAAGGCCGTGGCGCTGGCGCCCCTTCTCAAAGCCGTGGCCGTCGGAGAAGGCCATGGCGCCCCTTGCTCGAGGATGTGGCCACCGGAGAAGGCCGTGGCGCCCCTGCTCGAGGGCACGACCGCCGTGGCTGCCGGAGAAGGTCGTGGCCGCCGGACAGCGAGCACGCCACCGAAGAGCCGCCGCCGGATCTGGATACGACCTCCTTCGCCGAGGAGCGAGGTTGGCCACCCTTGCGGGCGTGCCGCCGGATCTGGACGCGAACGCCACCACCAAGAGAGATAGGGAGAGAGAGAGAAAGAGTTTCGGCTCGGGGTGGGGAGGCGTGGAGAGGGGCGACAGGATGGGGAGAGGTGGGGCGCGGAGAGGAGCCACCGGGAGTGGGGAGGGAAGAGGCGGAGAGGGGCGACGGGTTGGTGAGGCGTGCGGCTAGGAGTGGGGAGGGGCTGGTGGGAACACTAAGTCCTGCTTATATCTGAGCCCGACAAAAGAATAGATATGGGCCTTTCTGGGCTGGGAGATGGGCCACTATTTTGGAGACGGGTCTTATAGGGTGCCCACCTCCGAAAATGGATTTATGGAGGCGGGCTCCTTAAAACAAATGCCTCGGTTAAGTTTGATTAACCAAGAGACGGTTAAGATTCACGTTAGGACAACCGCCTCGGTTAATCGAACTTAACCCAGTGTGGGCGATTGATCTTTGCCCGCCTCGGTTAAGCTAATACATTAAGGCGAGTCATGTCGGCCATTTGCCGACCACCGAACAACGAAGGTGGGAAACCAGCCGCCCGCTTGAGAGCCCCAAACCCAAACGCCATGCAAAAGTTTTTGTGTAGTAGTGTGCATTAACTATAGAAAAGCATAGATCTAAAGCTACATAAAAAATGTATGCTAAAGCATACCATATTATATGTTCGTTGTGTAGATTTACTCATGTAGAGTCCAACAAAATTGGATTTTCCATTTTATGATTTTTTTCGTGATTTACTATATTTTTTTAAAGAATTAGTCGAAATAAATAAAATAGAAAAGGACAAAGCCGCATTTGAAAACCGCTTATAACCGGTGATGAAGGTAAAACGAACGGTTCTAAAAGTTCAGGGAGGTGGTTTACCCGGCTTTAGAGTTCAGGGAGGAAAACAGACTTTCGCAAAAATTGAGGGAGGTAATGTGAATTTTTTTTCTCATGGAATGGAGTATATTCTTTTGTGACAGGGAAAGTACGTTTTTTTTAAAAAGTCACCAAAAGGCACCCCAATCATTGTAAAAGAGCTCATAAAGAAATATGTTTAGGTTTTTTCCTCATTTTGCTATGTTCGTCATCGTCATTCCACATCTTCACGTCACTGCCGCCCCAACGGTTGGAACGTGCTCCTTGTTCCCCTCTGTTCGCCCTTCCCCATTTTCTCGCGATTGTATTGCCTTTTTATTTCAAATAATGATGTTTTATTTTCTTTTCTTTGCCTTAGACATTTCGTTTTTTGTTGTTGTTGTCGTGTTCATCGTGGTCATTGTGGAAGCTGCCCTGCCGCTCCCAACGATGGGAACATGCTTCTTGTCCTCTCCGTTCCCACCCCATTCGCTTGCAATTGTATTCCTTTGCATTTCCAATAGTGATGTTTATTTTCTTTTTTATGAGAAATTTCAATTTTTAGGGATTGGTGGAGTAATTCTTTATTTAGTTCCTATTTGGTAGGACTCCGGCTCCTCTTAAAAAGGCTCTTGTTTTTTTGGCTCCTCATGTGAAGCGGCTTCTCTGTGGAGCTTGAAGGCGATTTGTAAAACGTTTACAAAAAAATGACTCCAGTGACAATTTTATATTAATTTCTATGAAGTTTGTGAGGAAGAGCCAGGATAAGACACTTTTTCGGCTCTAGCTCCTTTGGGTTCCTTATGAGGAGCCTTTTTTTTACGTGTGTTTGGCACAACCACAAGAGGCGGGAGCTAGAGCCCCGCAAAATAGGGCCTATAGGAGGATGTTACGATTGGATTATTCATATTTGGCTTTGTTGAGACCTGAAACTCTATGTTATATCTGATATGGATTTTTTTTATTTAATCTATGCTGTTAAATCGTCATAAAATTGTAAGGTGTATATTTTCTAAAATTTTAAATTGATTTTATAAATTTTTAGACCCTCTCATTGAGTGTAGACCCATTTTAATGCTGCTATATATAGATCTCCTGCCGCCTTTCCAAATAAAAAACAGATTGTGCCCCCAGCTTGATGCCAGAGCCGTGATTCTGTCGGTGGCCTGCAAACATGGCAATAAAAGTGTTTCAGCTATTTACCGTAAGTAACCAAGCCAGTTGCTTGCTCACTCTGTGAATGGACATGCATACAGCCTGTGTGAACAGTAAAACATTGGTGTCAATTTCGCATTCTCCGCTGTCTTGATTAATGGTTTGCGCGTGCTACGATTCCGTGCAGATTAGTTTAGAGCTTCGATGTCATTTGTGTTTGCTGCTGCTAAAACCTCGGAGGAAGAGTCAGCGATGAACGGGACGGAGAGCATTCAGATCCTCTGCGGTGATTAGCATAATGCAGATTGCAGAACGGGAATCGTGCTGCCCAGCATGAGCATGCAGCGCTCCAAAATTCGAGCGATTTCATATTCACCTCTCCCTCGAAGTTCCCGCGCGCCCCGCTGACTTCCACTGCACACAAACGTGCCAACTGAAACAGAACGTTCCTGCCTGCTAGCTAGCTCGTCGGCAGGCCAATGCAAAACCCTCTCTATGCTCTCCCTAGCCCCTATACATCCACGAGATCGCCATCACACACAGCTCCCAGCGATCCAGAGAGAGCACGTGCACGGTGCACCTCTGCCGCTGCATCTGAAGGTCCTAAAGGAACTAGCATAGCCATAGCATGGGGGTGGCCGGCGCCGGCGGCGGGCGGCTGCGTGCCAGCAGCGCCAAGAAGCAGCAGCGGCAGCGGACGCTGAACAACATCAAGATCACGCTCCTGTGCGGCTTCATCACGGTGCTGGTCCTCCGCGGCACCGCCGGCTTCAACCTCCTGGTCAGCAGCGGCGACCTCGACGGCGCGGCGGCGGACGCCAAGGTCGTCGAGGACGTGGAGCGCATCCTGGCCGAGATCCGCTCCGACTCCGAGGCGGACGACGTCGTGTTCGTGGTCGAGGACGGCTCGTCATCGACGCCGTCGCCGCGCAACGCAACGGCGGCGAGCTTCGGCAACTTCTCGGCGTCGGCGACGGTGGTGAAGGTGCGGGAGTACAGCCTGGGTCCCAAGGTGACGGACTGGGACGCGCAGCGGCGGGAGTGGACGTCCCGGCACCCGGAGTTCCCTGCCCTCGACCCGCGGAGCGGGGGACGGCCGCGTGTCCTTCTCGTCACCGGGTCGCCTCCGGGCCCCTGCGACAACCCCGTCGGCGACCACTACCTGCTCAAGGCGACGAAGAACAAGATCGACTACTGCCGGCTCCACGGCATCGACGTGGTGCACAACATGGCGCACCTGGACCCGGAGCTGACGGGGTACTGGTCCAAGCTGCCGCTGGTGCGGCGCCTCATGCTGGCGCACCCGGAGGTGGAGTGGATCTGGTGGGTGGACAGCGACGCCATCTTCACGGACATGGCGTTCGAGCTCCCGCTGTCCCGCTACGACGGCGCCAACCTCGTCATCCACGGGTACCCGGACCTGCTGTTCGAGAAGCGGTCGTGGATCGCGCTCAACGCGGGGATCTTCCTGCTCCGCAACTGCCAGTGGTCGCTGGACCTGCTGGACGCCTGGGTGCCCATGGGTCCCCGGGGCCCGTCACGCGTCGAGGCCGGGAAGCTGCTCACGGCCAGCCTGACCGGGCGGCCGCCGTTCGACGCCGACGACCAGTCGGCGCTCATCCACCTGCTGTTGGTGCAGAAGGAGCGGTGGATGGACAAGGTGCACGTGGAGACGGAGTTCTACCTCCATGGATTCTGGACGGGGCTCGTGGACAGGTACGAGCAGATGATGGAGAACCACCACCCGGGCCTCGGCGACGACCGCTGGCCCTTCATCACCCACTTCGTCGGATGCAAGACCTGCGGCCGGTACGAGGACTACCCGCTGGACCGATGCATCCGGGGCATGGAGCGCGCCTTCAACTTCGCCGACAACCAGGTGCTCAGGCTCTACGGATTCCAGCACCGCTCGCTCACCACCGCCAAGGTCAGGAGGGTCAACGACCCGGCCACCAACCCGCTCCAGGCAAAGGAGGCGGCGCTGAAGATGGACGCCAAGTTCTCGAGCACCTAGAAGACACAGTTATACGATTTTTGAATTTTGATCAGTTCGTTTGCGTTTTGATTTGTCTTAGCTATCTGTTTTGCAAAAGCTAGCGCACTCAGCAGTCTGAGATACAGCAGCTTAGCTGCTATATGTCTGATGCTTTCGCTTTGATACTTGGATTCAGAGAAAAATGAAACCGTGCAGAAGAGTAGTATGATTCAAACAATGTGACTGAACTGTGACACTAATACACCATCATTCTTCGGATTAGCATCGTTTCTGCTGTTTTGTCCTAGTAAAACGTAGAGCGATCAGATGTCAGCGAGTGTGCCACGCTGTGCCTTCAGAACTGGGAATGCTATTCTTTTCGTCTGCACACAGAGTTGATACTTCAGACCATATGATGCACTCTGAATATATTTGGTATTCCATTTTTGGGGGGGAAAATGCACTGCTTAAATTATTTCAAGTTTAGTAGCACAAATTTTATGGCACTGATGCAGTGTACTATACTCTTTTTGCAAAAGATGAATATTGCAATGTTTTGATTCATAACCTCTTGAAATGTTTTATTTGTCATGAACCAGCAAGCAACGGCAATTCCCTTCCTGTATATATGTTCCCATTCCATCTTACAAAACTGGAATCCACGAACAACCAAAGCACACACAAAAAAAGAAGAAAAAAACATTTCAAATCTTGGATCGCCATCCCAGTCTCTTCAGGATTCTTGCAAGAACAGAATCTCCCTCTCCTTTGCTCTTTCGATTCTTGCGCACATCACTACTCCATGGATCCGGCTCATTTGGTTTCTTCAAGAAAGCGAGAGACTCCTCCTTGGCCTCCAGCGGGTTCGCCGACCGGTTCGCCACCCGCCTGACCTCGGCGCTCGCCAGCGACTCGTGCCGGAAGCCATAGAGCCTGAGCACCTGGTTGTCGGCGAAGTTGAAGGCGCGCTCCATGCCGCTGACGCACCGCTCCAGCGGGTACTCATCACTGCGATTCTTGCCGCCGCCACTGTCGCCGGCGGACGCGGACGCGGACCTGGACCTGGTGGACCTGCCTTCGCAAAGCTTGCAGCCGGCGAAGTGCGTGACGAACGGCCAGCGGTCGTCGCCGTACCCCGGGTGGTGCTTCTCCATGGCCTCCTCGAACTTGCCGACGAGCCCCGTCCAGACGCCGTGGAGGTAGTACTGGTTCTCGAGGTACACCCTGTCCATCCACCGCTCCTTCTCGGTGATGAGCAGGTGGACGAGCGCGGACTGGTCGTCGGCCTCGCCCGGCGGCCGCCCCGCCAGCGTCGCCGTCAGCAGCTTCCCGGCGTCGTCGCGGGCGCGGCCCCTGGGCGCCATGCCGGCCCAGGCGTCGAGCAGGTCCAGCGACCACTGGCAGTTGCGGAGCAGGAAGCTGGCGGTGCTGGCGGCGTCCCAGGACCGGCGCTGGAAGAGGAGGTACGAGTCGCTGCGCACCACGAGGTGCGCGCCCTCGTACCGCGCCAGCGGGAGCTCGAACCCCATGTCGGTGACGAGCGCGCCGGCGTCCAGCCACCACAGCCACTCCACCTCCGGGTGCGCCAGCATCAGGCGCCGCAGCAGCGCGAGCTTGGCCCACCCGCCGGCGCCGCCGGTGCCGACCGACGACGACGACAGCTCGGGGTCCTCCAGCCGCGCCGTGACGTGCACCATCTCGACGCCGTGGAGGCGGCAGTAGTCGAGCCTGTTCTTGGTGGCCCGGAGCAGGAAGCGGTCTCCGGCGGGGCTGGAGCAGGGCCCCGGCGGCGACGCCGTGACGAGAAGCACCCTCGGACCGCCCCGCGCGTCGCGGTACGGGAACCCCGGGTTCTGGTGTAGCCACCGCCGCCGCTTGGCGTTCCACCGCGTCACCCGGGGACCCAGGCTGTAGTTTGCCGTCGTCCACGCGGCGCCGCGGTCATAGTGCTCCCGCGTGGCCGCCGAGGAGCTGCTGGTTGTCTGCGCCGCGTCGTCGTCTGTGTCAGGGTCGGGGTCGGAGTCGGCGCGGATCTCGCGGAGGATGCGCTCGATGTCGTCGACGGGTCTGGTGCTGGCCGCGGCCGCGGGATTGTCGGAGGTGCCGGCGATGTAGACGAGGCGGCGGTTGACGCCGACGGTGCCGCGGAGGACGAGGATCGTGACGAAGGCGCAGAGGAGGCTGATCTTGACGTTGCTGATTATCCGCCTCGTTAGCTTGCTGCTGCTGCTGCCCCGCGGGTGCAGCCGCCACCCGCCGGCCGCCGGCGTGCGCATCCGATCGTTGCGATCCGGGTTGGAGAAGGGTTTTGGTGGCGTGCCGTACGTCGAGGCGAGGATGCAAGATAGTCAGCGGGGGAGCGGGAAGTTCGAGGCAGAGGAGGAATATGAAATTGCTGGATTGTCAGGCGAGCTTCATCGCCGAAGGTTCTGTATTGGACTGGAGTAGAGTATTGTAAATGCTCACCGGCCGCCGCGCGGCGCCGTCCGCTGTCCGCAGACACATGCGTGCCGCCGGTGATCCGCTCGGCTCGTTGACTAATCAATCACACACACACACAAGACGTCGAGTTGAGGTCCCAGCTGAATATTTTTTTTTGGTGCCAAAAAGAAGATGGGCCATATCTGAAAAATGTGCATCGATGCATGCAGAGCTGCAGCCTACAAAATTGCAGGCACCGAAGCTATCTAGAAATACTTCTATATATAAAAATATGGTTCATTTGCGGCAGAGCAAAATCCCAATCTCTCCTTCCTTCCTCACTGCTATAGTAAATCAACAATTTCTTAAGCAGATGAAATCGACGCATGAATGTTTTCATTGTTCCCCTTTTTCTAGCATCACTGAGTCGGAATCACTTGTTATAGCGGTATAAGTAATGCCAATCCACTCCTTGATCACCGCCAGGCTGCAGAAGAGGTCCCCCTGCCGGGCGCATTGGTGGACGACAGCCCAGTCCCTGCGGCAGACGCTGATCTCGCAGAAGTTACCCTCTGCCCCGACCCGACACCCATCACGATGAGTTCAAACGCTCTTCACAAGCCGACAACGAGACCCTCCGGCGGCCACATCCACCGTGGTGCCCCAGCCCACATCATCTTCGCCAGATGCCGCTAGGACTGCGAGCGCCTGCGGGCCCGCCGTTGAGCAAACGGTGCCGGCCCTCGGTGCGCTTCTAGCGGTCCACTGTGAGCCCACGCAGATGAGCTCGGCCCTCGAAGTGCAGCAAACGCCAGCCCAGGACTGCACAGGCCCACATGAACTGGATGAGGCCCAGGCGAACAAGTCCACTGAGCGGGTGCCGGACGACAAACAGTGCACGTCCCAAACAGCCGCGCCGGACACGGAGCAGCGCACGTCGCCGCCTGCTGCGAACTCGGCGTCGGCTGAGCGTCGCCTCAAACGCTTCGTGGACAAAATCAAGAAACCATGGCCGCCACCACTGCTGCAACTTCCCTCACTAGAGCAGCCCGAGGCTACCCCATGGCCAAAGATCCTGACGCGTAGCAGGTGCATTGCAGCACAAAGCCTTTCACACATCCCTGCGTCAAAAAGGGGAGAATTCCTTGTGATGAAGCGGCTCGGGCACACTAAAGGACAGGCGGAGCTCGCGTCCACGGCGAAGCTGACATATGATGAAATCTTCAGCGGCAACCGTGACCATATGCAGGCACTACGGGAGCTATACCCACCGGAGGGCGACGTCAGTGCGCGCAAGAGGCGCCGCTGGCAGACCATGAGGGCATAACTTGCCTCGGGTTTTCGGCAAGCACCTTGGTTGCATTCTAGAGCAAGTAATAGGCTAAGCATCGTGTCGTGTCGGAGAGACAATGAGCTTTATTAAAAATCTTTAAGTTATCCCCGTTGTAATCAAACTATTCTCTCTTAATACAAAGACACGTAAATCTTTTGCGTGATCAAGAAAAAAATATCCTCTTTGGGTACTACTCAATGAATATACCGTGGAGATCATAAAGCTATTTTGTTTGTCATAGATGAGTGGGATCCATGCCTAGCATGCCCACATTGATCGGCACATTTTGATCTGTTTAGGGTACTCCAATGCTGAAACTATCATTGTTGCGAGCATGAAGACATGGTAGTTTTAGCACTAGGAGAGGTGAGTATAGATACAAGCTATAGTGTGACTGTCGCGGGGCCAGAACCGCGGCAAGCATTATTGTTCGAGTCGGTGTCAGAGTACGTGTCTCCGGTGACTCGGGTGGACTCAAGAACACAAGAATCACAGAGATGATGCAACACTTTATCCTGGTTCGGGCCAATCGATGCCCTACGTCAAGCAACTGATGATCCTTCTACTCAAAAGCACCCAAAACCGAGGGGTTACAACAGAGTGTAGAGAGGTTTGGTAGGGGGTTAGCTCGGTGCTAATCCTGAGGTTGCCTCACCGCCGGTGGAGTGTTTCCCTCATCGGAGAGGAGGAAGATGACGGGATGCGGTGGAGGAGCTCTCGTTGCCCCTCCCTTTGGGTTCCCCTGCTCTCGGTGCTGAGCAGGAGCGGATGGAATGAGGTGGAATGATCTGTCTTGGATCCTCCTCCCCCCTCTAGGCCCGACCTTATCCCTTATATAACAAGATAGGTCGGGTACAAGGTAGTTTGGGGAGATGAGTCTACGGTCTACATGTGCCGGAGTCCAGGAGGGTCTTGCAGCGGCGCTCTGTGGACCATGGCGGTGTCGTGGAGCCGAAGAAGCCTTGGGCATCATCCGGCTGCTCTGTTCTGACACTTTGCATGTCAGGCGGTGTTGGCTTGGACCTACCTCCCCCAGGTGGACCTTCTAGAGTCTTCTTGGTGGTGAAGGAGGCCGGCTCCAGGGGGTCACACGCGGGCACAGGAGCCGCCCAGTCCCTGGAGGCCGCGAAGAGCTTGTATTCTTGTGTCACGCCCCATGCATGACCCTGTCGCGAAAGTGGCTAGCATGGCCATGCTTAGGCCGCGGCGTCTTGGAGCCCCCGAGCCTCGATGGCTCGGGGCTTGTCTTCTTGCACCCTGGCCTTGGCTGCTGTCGCAAGCCGGGCTGGAGCCAAGGCCCGACCTAGGGTGTGTCGTCGATCGGGAGCCTGAAGCCCGGGCGAGCCCCCGGGCCTTGTGCGGGGGCTACGCCGTGCCCAGGCTCGGCCAGGTTTCTTGGTTGGAGGGTGCGCGCGACCGTACCCGATGGGTTTAGCCCCCGAGCGATCCTGGAGGGGTCGATCGGGGGGTCTCTTTGGTCGGGAACCATTGATCCCGAGGCTTAATATACCCATATGTTAGGATGTTGTCAGGAGCCCCCGAGCCCTTCATGGCCTCACTTGTCCTGATTCGTGATGGCGATGAAGGGCTAAATTCGATCTTTTGGTGACCGAACTTGCCATGGTGGAGACTGTTTCTGCTGACGGCAGCATGTTGCCCTACGTGGGGCCTTTGCCCCTGGTGTGATGGGGCGCTTGGCTATCGGGGCCAAGTGGTAGTGGTGCTAACTTCTTCTCTGTTCCCATGTTGCATAGGTCTGTGTCCCAAGCGAGGGTCCAGTGAACTCGTCTAGGAGTCACCGGCTTTAGGCCTAGGGGCACCCTTTCTTTTGGTTAGGACCTACCGTGGGTCGGGTGATCGAGAGCGTCTGGGCTCTGGCTTGGAGCCACCTGATCACCCAGAGCACCACGCCCTTCTGGGGGCTTTGATAGCAGGCCCCGATCCTATCGGGATGGCCTTCTGGGCCCGACCTTCTACAGCCATAGGTTGGGGTGCGAGGAGCGCGCCGAGCTTGGGCAGGGGACCCTCATTGGGTCCACCGCTCGGTGGCTCCCGACCCAACTCTGGGGAGTTGGATGGTTTTGGGGGTGCGCCGCCCGAGCCCTCGTCAATCGAGGGGCAGGCTACTCCATATGGGGAGCCAACGCAACCCTCGAGGCCATAGTGAGGCCTCCTTGTCAGCGGGCATGATGGCTTCTAGGCACGTCCCGTCCGCTGACGCTTTCTATAGGTGGTTTGATGGCATCTGGGCCATTGTGCATGGTGAAGGAGTTAAGGCATGCGCTCCCGTGCCGTTCCACCTCGTTTAGGAGATGGGATGTCGGGGCCACGTGGAGCAGATCTGGCAGAGGAGGAGCCACGACACTTGGTGCGCATGGATCTAGGCCATTGATGATGACTAGTGGGCCCAAGGGGAGTCGGATCCCCTCAAGTCCTGTGAGGAGGCATGCGCGGAGTGGGCGGCGCGCTTGGGTCAGCCCAACAGGGTCTGGCCGATAGTTAGGCGGTGGTTCGCCTTCACCTTGGGTCTAGCAACCGGTGCCGCGTTGTACGGTCACATATGGGATCGTGGGAGCGAGGCGGTGGGCGTTCCTGGAGCAATAAAGTAGAGTTTGGGAGGTGAAGAGGGGGAGTTACCTTCCATTCCAGGTATAGTCTTTCCATTCCTGCAAAGCCCTCGCTCTGCTGTATTCTGATGCACTCGCTCGTCGCCATCGCTCCTCCCTTCCACCCCCATGGCACAATGGGGGCCGTCAAAGGTCATTGAGGCGGAGATCAGGAAGATGGAGGAGGATGGGCTGGCGCCAGAGGCGGTCTTTGTGGTTGGCTGATGTCCTCCTACTGTTGGGCAATTGGCACCGGTGCCCGGCGATCAGGAGATCTTCTCCTTCGCTGACTTCCACCGGCTGGAGCTCGGCCTCCCCCTGCACCTCTTCGTGCGTGGCCACCTGTTCTTCTACAACCTTCGCCTCCACGACCTGATGCCGGAGGGGATCCTCCACATCATGACCTTCATCATGCTGTGTGAGGCCTTCCTAGGGATCCATCCTCACTTCGCGCTGTGAAGGTGGTTGTTTAGGGTGGTGCCTTCATTTCCCGACGACGGCGCTTTTCTGGCGATGGGGGGGGGTGCCTGGATCCAGGTGTGGCCGCATGATGCTGGCCGGTACCTCACCCTCGCCCATCTGCCAGGTTTTGACTGTGAGATGCGCTGGAGGAGGCGCTGGTTCTACCTCCCCAACGTGGTTCCAGTGCTCCCCTCCTTCTCGGAGGGAACCCCTAGCTGCGTCGCCCCGGCTTCGTGGCAACTGTTCCCCCTAGTGGGGCCAGCCCTCATGGGGGCCATTGAGGCCTTGAAGGCGCAAGGGCTGACTGGGCCGGTGGTGGTGCGCACGTTCATCCAGTGTCGGATCCTCCCGCTGATAGAGAGGGTGCACCCGCTGTGGCAGCACCAGGGGATCACTAACCCGATGATGGAGTTCCCTTACCCCATCTCGGAGGAGCTGCTCTGGGTACTGATGA